CCTTTGGGTTCCTAGTGAAGCATTTTACCCTCTGTGGTTTTCTTAAGTCGGTTCCAGGATCACTCATACGGTTTCATCCCTATCTCAGTCAGTTTTCTGGATGTCACTTTCGAAAACCCAGGGGTTTTATACGGAAGTCTTGCGTGTGATCTCACTTGGGCTTCTCTGAGACATAGTTTTCATTTATTAATTCTTATTTGCATCTGTATATTTGTTGAACAATAGGCATTAACATGGTATGACAAGTTCCATCAAGTAGCTGGGACGATATTGGGTGTAGTCTGAACTGATTTTTAATCAGGTACACTGATGATAAGCTCAGCCTGAAAGGAGCGAAACGGCCGTTCGGTGTTTACATCACCTCGATCGGGCCAGGAAGCACTGTTGGTTGATATGACCAGTATGCAACTACTCACCGCGATCAATCAGCAGCCAATAGCTTTATCTGAACAACAAGTTGTTGGCTGGTTCACTAACAGGTTAACTCATTGTTTATTATTTACAGCCGGTTATCTGGAAATGCTACTGTTGACGAGAGCGCCACGTTTCTAAACCACATAAAAGTACTGATTAATAAGAAGTCTTGATAGTTTAGGATCTCATTTGTTACGATGACTGCAGTAGACTGTCCCAATTTTTTGATTGTAAGGAAGGTCTGCCTCAGATAATAATAAGTGTTAAATGTTTTGAGCGTCGGTAATATTGATGATTATTATGACACCAAGAGTAATGATAATAAGGTTTATGCACGGAGCGACAAGAATAACGAAGGTAGTAATTTGTGTGCATTTATATGTAGGCAGTTCAATAGATAAATTAGGCCAAGTTTTAAACGTTACGTACTACTAAAGGTCAAGTAAACAGATAATTAGCGTTGAAATAAATATCATAAAAGTACGAAGGAGATGGAAAATAAGAAAGGCTGGAAGGGTTTTTATTAGAATTTACCTAGACTAATCAAGAAAGACACAAAGATAGGACAGAGTCTTTTGTATTCAAAGACAAGGACTATCTTCTAGAATCCCCTTAGCCTCGGGTATATGTCAAAGGTGGGGCAAACCTCCTACAGAAAGATTCGATGGAATGCAATACACAACTTTAAAGGCATTTCTTCTGTTCACCTGGTGACTGCTATCAACCAAATATGACAAAATAGAACTTCTTAGGGATTTTACTTGACTTCTTTCGAACCATGAATATAGATGCTCATTAGTTTATTTGTTGAGCTGTCTAATTGTTTGCCGTATATAGATTTCTCCACAAGATTAGTAATATTTGCGAATACAGAAAGAAGCGGCACAGCTAAGTAGCTTGCTTTTCGCTTGAGTAGTCATAATTGATTGAATAAACATCGATACACAAAAGTTGGTGGTAGTATAAGTCCTTTTTATTGCCATAGAAGCCCTTTTTTCTACTCGGAGTGTAAAGGAATGATAAAACATTGCTATAGATAATCTCAGATGTAAGACTTCCCTAGCCACGTCTCCACTGAAATGTAGTTTCAGGAAGTTGTTTCTTTTTATAGGGTTCTCAGTTACTTCACATTATACGTGGTGTTCACCTGTCTGCTTACAAATCCGCTAGGATTACCCATTTTGGTTAGCGTATTTCGGATGTTTCTTAATTCATTCTGTAGGGAGTCATCTGTACAGATCCGTCTTGCTCTATTCGTGAGGGAGCTCACCAAATTGATTTTGTGAATATCTCTCGATTGAAACATCCTCTCTTCTGCTCAATAAGACATCATGGAAGTGTAATCTATCGTCATGTTTTACCTTAAAAATGAAGATAAATGATGTGTGCGCATCTCAAAATAAAGTTTTTTTTTAATATTTTATTCTTATCAGCTTTCACATCAAGAATAATAAGTGTGCCACCAACATAACGAATCCATTTTATCTATTTCTTGTTTCAACAGACCATATTCAAGCTTTAAAAGAAAGAAATCCGCTAAAATTTGACTCACTGTAGAACGCATGGCAATACCATCAAATTGTTTCTACTTACCAATTATTGTTATTAACGATTTTTTATTATCAATTCGTCAAATGGCTAGCCTGACTTACTTATATCTTTCTAAGTTAGTTAGAAGTTTTCTATTTCTATGATGTTTATGTAAATTGTTTGTTTTACAGCGAGGTGTAATTACTTCACACCCATATGCAACAATATATTCTGACTCGAGGTACTACTTTTCTAAGAGATGTAAGCTATAGGCGAGTCTAATATGATCAGGCGATCAAAGAATACATACCAATCAATGTGTTCAATTTTTTTTATTATTGAAGTTAAAAAATGAGGGATCTACTTGAGTCTCTTTCCTACAACAAATAGGATGATATTGTTTTCAATGAAGTCGAATGTTTTTCTGTTTACGCTGATTCTTTTGTTTGTTTATTATTCAAATTTAATTTTTATATAAACACTTATCTATTTGGTTATCAAAATTTTAATAGTAGCCTAATTTGTTATCAATACCTCAGGGTGCAGACTTGCCTAATTGACTAGCTTGCTAGTTTTCCAGATGGTTCCAAATCCGGATAAAACTCTAGGTTTAGACGTGGGGCTAAAAACCCTACTCTACTTAACCTATAAAACCATCAGAGAAACGTCAACACACAGAGAATATACTAAAAATAAAAAAAACCTCTAATAAAATTCATATTCTTCAGTCAAATCAGAGACGCGAAATAACACAGCCGGCTGGTGAAAGCCAGCCTTCACAAAGCCAGTCAACCGGTCAGTGTGTCTTCTCTCGATGAAAGCAAGAATAAGAATAAGGACGTGGAATGTACGTAAAATGTACGTAACTATGACGGCTGGCAAGGTAGTCGACGAAATTCGTGGATGTAGCCTGAAAGGTGCTGAGTATCTGCGAAAGCAGATGGTATGGATGTGGATTATGAAAATTGTCAACTGGAGAGTTAGCATTCTACCCCGATCACACAGACGATAACCACTAGCACACTGAGGTAGTAAGTGCTTATATTGATGTCGCTAGTGGAAACCAATATCATCCTCCAGGATCATAACTGCAAGATTCAACTGAAAAGGAAGAATTGAACACATTTATTTTCCGATACGAATTTAAAGCAAGTAACAAAGGTTAATAAAGCAGGATTTATTAAATTCGTTAAATTTCGGTCAATGTCATCAGCTGAATACTCTACATACACGGATATATATGCTTTTGAAATTACATTGAGAGATATAATACTCCTAAGCAAATAAACTACATTGAATTCGTCATGCGGAAAGATATGTTCAAATGTTTTTCAGGTAATGTTCAAATAGAAAAGTGGTGAAAGGGAGTATGAGAGATTAAAATTGAAACAAAATGCATAACGTTTCAGTTAAGTCACTGAAATAAAAAATTAGTTATTAGAGAATATATCAAGAATTACAAATAGAGTAATATCGGTAGTAATAGTTATATTAATAATAATATTAATAATAGTAATACTGAAGTGAGTTAAGATAATACTACTGATAAAAGATAGTTTTAAATAAGTCAAGAATAATGATCATAAGTAAAACGTATTACCACAATAGAGTCAGAGTGACGACCATCTCCTTTTGTACACAGACACCTGGAAGTCAAGTAAACCAAATGAAGTAGTTTGAATTTCATTGAAAAATGCAGGATGCTTATGATCATTCGTCCCTTGAGTTCCTGAGGGAATATGACATGTCAGTGTTGGTGAACATTGAATAGTATGTTTATTCAAACCGGTCTAAATGGCGGGTAACAAGAATACTGTCATTGCTAAATCGTCCACTGGTTAGCGGAAGATTAGAGAGATACAATCAGAAGTATTGCTGTACATTTTATTAACGTCTATTTGCAGACTTTGATACTAATTAACGGTTTAAGAATAAATAATAATGTTGCTTAAATGCTTTTATTGTTCTTTGTCAGTTAGAGTACATAGATTTCTGCGTATTAAACTTAGTCTTTTGAAACCAACAATAGGTCCAGGTTATCAGTGATCTAGATATTTGAAGTGGGATATAAACAACATATTACCTCCTCACTCTGTTATCGACAGTCCTTTTAAACGGATACTGCCGTCGCTCATTAGCCTTTGTCTCTTTATAACTTGGTCTTCACTGTGTTAACCTGTGGTGCCTAGCTCGTCATATTCCATTTATGTTCCACTCAATGGCCTCACATGTGATATCAATAATCTGTCTTCTAGGCGCATTTCCAATCCATCGCTATTTCTTTCTGCTTATTTGTGTGCCAGTATGGTCTCAGTTTGTTGCTTATATTTAAAAACCCGCTAATTATTGCATCTTCAGTATTGAACATTAAAAGGGGAATCCGTTGAGAAGAATCCATGATAGCCTGCTGAAAGGCTGAAGCATAAACTAGATAATAATTTCAGAAAATCGAGATGTTTTCATTGTGTCAAGTGTTTTTTACCGAAAAACTCATTCCTGAGTAATGAATTACTGTATTGATTTTCCTATTTCGATCTGATTAATTTCAATATTTATATCCGTTCTAGGTCAGGACTCTTCAAAACCTTCAAGGTTATGACTCTGGTAACTGGACCGCAAGCCTGAACATCCATTCTGTTCATTGTTAGTAATTTTATCGAATTTAATATCTTGTAGAACGTGTGTTGATACATGAAAGTCAGCTATTCCTAGTTCGTTACACAGGACTTCACTCATGGAACTTTCCTGAATTCCTCAAATCCCCGATTTTTTACCAACAGTCTTTTCGCGCAAATGAAAATCCTTGAATATGCAAATTGTATTAACTTCGAGAAACCAAATGTAACTAGACATGTTTTTATTTATTTCATTGTAGCTCATTTTCTTCTTCTTCTTCAGTAGACATTCATTTGATCGAATTTCACAAACTTTCTTCAGTATAAATAAACAAAAGAAATTAACTAAATGAACAAAACTAATAGAAACAAATTAATTATGCACGTGATATATTCAGTAAAATATATAAATGTCGAAGAGAAGTGCATCATACATTAGGTGAATTGCTTTTCTTTTAAAATTTGCTTTCATACAAAATGCGATTTGCATACATCGCCATAGTTATCCTAGTTTCTCTGTTCGCTTTGGTTGAGAAGAGTGATGGACGTAAGTGTAAATTTAATTTTACGCAATATTATGAAAAGGTGATTAAAATTAATTTTCAACGATTAAAACAGTTTGGTGTATTAGCTAATCCTTGTAGATATTATTTGAACCCCTAGTGAACAGTTTGTATCTTCTCGCTGTCTGGCATTTGAAATGTATGATGGATATGGCCATGGAAAGGCTTCATCCTCTTGAAGCAAAGTAGAAGTGGATGGGGGTGAACTTGTTTCGACAAACGGAGTAAAAGTGTTTTAAAAGGGACGCTGGAAACGTCATCAATTAATATTACTGTACGACAGTGTGTGATTTATGCAAATAAAATCTTATCCGTAATGAAGTTATACTCTATCACAGTACCCAAGTTTTATACTTATATCAATATGGCAGTCTGTTCACACCGACAGTCAGAATGCAAAAGAGTAATGCTCACTTGTAGTTCGAATAGTTTAGACGGCATCACTGATAAGAAAAATTCACTTGTACTGAAATAATCACTGTCTATTGCATCTATCAGACGTGTAGTCCACATGTTTCCAAATTGAAGTGTATTTTATTGGCACTGATATTTGTATATGAACTTTTATGATACATGAAAAGTTTATGGAGTTATTTTCTGTGATACCTTTTTTAATTCCTTGATAAATGGCTTTATTTTAGAAGCACAAACTCCAGGTAAGACTATTAAATATATTTGCTATTAGATATTCTCACCCAAAGACACCTCTGATTATTGTTTACATAAAAAGTGATTAAAAAACGCAGAACTTTAGAGAAAATGTTTTGGTTACAGGATTTCATCATGAGCTGACATTGGTTAGAGAACCGTTGGAAAACCAACTGGGAGTACTGGACAGCTGTTTCGTCTTAGTTTGGGACCCTTCAGCAGTACGCATCAACGCCATGGGGTTCAAACCGAGGTCCTTCTGGTTGCAAGGCGAGCTCGTATACCATTACGCCACTGCGACCCAATCCACTGGGTAGTCCATAAATTCTAACTTCTGCCAATTGACGATATGGCTCAACCGCTAGCCAATGTCTTCAGCGAGTATTTGTCCTCACACCTGACTTGCTTCACCCAACTGGTCACGACTTCACGCTGGAAGAATATCTTTTAATTTGAATTTTTTGGTTACCTTCATTGGACTAAAATTGGGATGATTTTCAGTAGGATGTTTTGTACTTGCTAATGAAATTCTAAAACTTGCATCTGAAGCAGTTCCAGAGTAAGACAAATTAGTTTATATAAATAGTTTATATTATTCATAAAACATGTGTTACTTGTGAACAATGATGTCTGCTTAAGTCACTTTCTTATTTTATGGTTAAAAAGCAAACCAATTTACTACAACACTAATGTCTACCCAGAGTCACACACTGCAAATTGGAATTTGCTGAAAAATTTGAAGAGACAAAGAAGATTCATAGTTTCACCATGATTCCTGCACAGTAGATGTTTTCTAGAAGGATTTGAGATTAAACAAACCTTCCGTGAGAAGAAATCTACATGAACAACTGAACCAGGAGGTTGTAAACTAACACTCTGATAGTCTTTCAACAAAGTAAACTAACCGGAGAGCTAATACTTTCAGACTTCCCTTAAAACTAGAATATCACTCACTTATACCGATGGTTATGTGCTAGTCAAAACCGATCACTGCCAGATCTGTTACTATACTACTTTTAAACAATGCCTTTTAGAATAATGCTTACTAAACATAGACTATTTTTTTAGATAGCTTCATCGTCAGGCTCTACATTTATGTATGCATTATAGTACATGAATGAATTAGTGTTATGAACAAAATTAACGTTGTTTAAATAATATCGAATCAATAATAAAGTCAGTAGGTTACAATGCAATAGTATCAGCACAACAGTAAACTGAATGTCAGAAAAATTATGAATGTGTAGTCTCTACTGAAGGCCGGCCAGGGCAGTAGTAGATGCTGGACAGAATTATTTAAAAATAGATGTATGTATTTCAACGTTTCAACCAAACTTTATCATTAGCATTGGTCTGTGAATTTCATTTCAATCAGTAATCACCAGAAAAACAAGTGAAAGTACATTGAAGACTGATAATGTCATTGTTTTCTTTTTATAGGAATCAAAGTGTACGGAAGTAAGATACATAATAACTTCAATATAATTTAAGTTCACAAATATTCTTTATTCTGTAGACTTATACTATGTAACTCTGAATGTATCTGGGCATTTCAAGTCAAAACCATAGGCTTTGAAAACACATATTAAGGCCATTATCTACTGATGACAAATTCAACTGAAACTCTAACATACAATTGGAATAATAAGGAAGAAACGTGTTCGATATACATTCAGTGAAGAAAAGTATCGTTCAAGGAAACTTTATCCTACGTTATTGTATTGGAAGAGCAGGTGTGGTTTTAGACCATTATCTAGTACAAGAGACTTTCAAGGTGAAGCTAAAAGCTATGAGGATAGCCAGGGATAGGCCACAATACAAGTTCAACCCTCAAAAAATGAAGGACACAACCACAAAGACACTTTCACTACAACCCTTAGAGTGAAGCAGGAAACACTACGTGACATCACTGAAGAATCATCCGTGGAATACCAATGGAACTCTTTGAAGGTGATTTTCAACGAAACGTGTCCAGCGGTTCTAGGAAGAAAGAAGAGACAAGACAAGGGATGGCTCTCAATGGACACTTGGAAGCTAATAGAGGAGAGGCCAATGGTGAAAGAGAAAATGATTCAATGCAAAGACGGGCTAGAGAAAGAGACTCTGAGCTCAACTTACAAAGCATTGGACAAAGAAGTGAAGAAGAGTGCTAGAAAGGACAAAAAACGATTCTACGACAACCTGGCCACTGAAGATGAGAAGGCAGCAAGCAAAAGGGTCCTGAGAACATTATATCAGATAACCAAATCTCTATCCGGGAAGAGATCAACACAAGCGAAACCTATAAAAGACAACCAAGGGAACCCAATTACCAAGGAAGAAAAACAGATTAAACAATGGGCGGATCACTTCAAAGGACTCTTGAACCGACCATCACCTGCAACCCGTCCAGAAATACCAACAACAGCGTGCACACAACTGCAAGTTAACACCAATCCTCCAGCGAGAGCTGAATGCAGTATTGAATGCATTCAAGCTTCTGAAAGCTGGAAAAGCAGCCGTACCAGATGGAATACCGCCTAAAGCACTGAAAGCAGACCCAGAGACGACAGCAGACATGCTGACTCCATTATTGCAAAAGGTCTGGAAGGAGGGAAAGGTGCCTACTGACTGGAGGAAAGGTTACCTCGTGAAACTACCGAGGAATGGCGACTTACGCCTCACTCTGCAAGAACTGGCGAGGAATCATGCTCCTGTCGACGCCAAGTAAAATCCTGATTCGCATCATCCTGGAGAGAATAAAGGACACACTGGATGCAGCACTCCGACTAGAACAAGCTGGATTCAGGAAAGGCCAATCATGCACTGAGCGAGAATTGGGAAGGCAGGCGAGAAACACATCCATCAACCTGAAACCAATCTGGAAATCTTCGTCGCTGAGCATCAACAACAAAGTCCAGCCGGATTTGCAATACAACCAACGTCAAGTCAGTCAGTTCTTCTATACGGATCAGAAACTTGGCAGGCGGATCACAAAGAATATTTCCAACAGCCTATTTCAGACATTTATCAACAACTGTCTTCGCTGGCTGTATACTGGAGATCAGATGGCTGGAAGGAATCACCATCAAGAAACTAAGGGAACAAACAAAACAAGAACCAATCACCTAACAAATATGCAGGAGAAAGTGGAGATGGATTGGACACTCACTCGCTGAGGAGGCCGGTTGATGACATCGCGCGTCAGGCCATTGCTCAAGTGGAACCCGAAAGTAAGCGGCGAGTGGGTCGTCAAGGGTGACATGGAGAAGATCGCGTGAAGAGGAGTTGAAAGAGCATGGACTAACATGGATGCAGGTGAAAAGTATAGCAGAAGACAGAAGCAAGTGGAAACGTGCAGTTGAAGCCCTATGTTCCACTAAGAACCCGAATGGAACAATTAATAATATTAATAATAATTAATAATAATATTGTAATGGAAATTTGATCTTAAAATGCCTCCTGAACAATGTGTTTTTTCAGTGTTGATATTTATTTGAGTATTTCAAGAAGTTTTAGAACTGATATCGTTTATCCATCGTTTTAGTATTTTGCAGGAATTTCTCAACCTGTATCATTTGTCTTCGGATGTGGTTCACACTCATATTTTGCTATTGTATTGTATGATTGTGGACCGTTAACAATTGAATCGCAGTTTTTCATTTACGATTTCCTTTTGATTGGACACACTTTGTCACTATCAAGTGGCTGCTCGCTCTTACATTGTGTACTAGTAACGTATTTTATAATTTTTAGTTCTTGTGCAGAGAATTTCCGTTCCAGCTTTAGCAAAGCAAAACTGGTCTAGAGTTATCTGAGGCAAAGCCGAAATCTTCTTGACCATGTGGTCTGAATGCTATTTTTATAAACGCTGGTTCACTAAAACGTAATCTCCTATTCTGTCAATGGTAATTAAAATAAGTGGCAGCATCATCTACAGAGGCTTACTTAGAAAGCGATAGTTGTACTTAATCCCTTTAACAACGGTATTCACATAAGTGATTCTTTTCCTCTGTCATTAGATTTCATTTTATCTTCACCCAGTCATTGAATTTGCTTCTAACTATCCTAATATCTTTTTACCATCTAAGTTCAATCTGGGATTGGATTCGGTAAGTGTTTGACAAATGCATATTCATACAAAGAATTTCAAATTTTGTACAAGTTTAACTTTAAACAATGCATTGAACAACTGGTAAAAATTAGGAATCACTCATGATCGAATAAAACAGTCAATTGACTGAATGTGCGTTAGCGCGGACCTCTGAGGAGATCGAAATTAGTACAAAATACCCATCCATTACTTCAGTGGTTGTCACACTGACATCGAACTGTGATTTAACTTGAATTAAATCAAATCCGTACAAACAAACTCCTGAATATGTGTAAAGATACGTGAATAATTCCGGTTGGTGTACAAGTGAGCAATCAAACATTGCTCATATTTTACTCCAAAGAGATTGTTCTGTATAGAACACAATCAAATACTGTAGGTGTTGTGTGCTTCTAGCGTCAACTTCTTCAGTAGAAGAATCTAAATCGCAAATTACTATCTTCACTGACGTACAAAATTAAACTGTCCTCTAAATAAAGACCAGTGAATCCTAATCCGCTCGACAAGTCTACACCAAAGGCTAATTTAGTAAATATTATTTATCTTCAATTTAAAGCAAAGTTTTTGCCTTTATATGGTGAGTTATTCTTGTATGGTTTATAGTCATATAATTCCATTAACTGACGTAATCTTGAATAAAGTTAAACAGAAATATTGTACAAAGAACTCGTTATTATTTTCAGTTTATATTCAGCTGTTATCACTCTGAACATGAAAGTAAAACCGAAGGAGATCCAGGTTTGATTCCAAGGTAGGATATATACGATTTAGGTGGGAGTCTAGGCCCAATTTATGACTTGCATACACCTTAACCTCTACTAATTGTTGGTAAGTCCTGAGAAAAAGAGTAGGTTTTACATCAGCCTTGAAAACGTAACAGCACCTGTATTTAATGGTAATAAGCCTGAAGCCATTTGTTACAATAAGAATAAGAAAAGAATATTGATAGTTGATGAATAAGTCGGCTTGATTACTGATAATCAGGAAAGCGCCTTGCTAACACTGTTGTGTCGCCTTCATGAAACCCACCAACGATATCTAGTTGAAAGCCAATCGTAAGATGTTTAGAAGTATATTTTGAGACCCAAGGACATAACTGAAGAACACCTATCTCATATATTGAAACACGCTGCCCACCACCATCATGGGGTAAACATTTTAAATAGACACATGAGTAGATAATAATACACGTTTTAATTATTTTCGAGAATCCCCCTGGTGTGTGAAAATTGGGCACTGTGGTAACAAGTAATTCCATATAAGTTTGTTTATTAGATATATCACAGGAAAAGGGAAACAGTATTATCAACCAGATGACGTTACCAACAAAATTTATGGCGGTTCATAATCATATCATCAATTATAGTCACATGACTTCGAAACTTGAGTTTTATGGTTTTCTTTATTCTTTCCTATTCGTCGTCGTCGTAGGGGTAGTGGAATTTTTCAGATATCTTGCACAGGTGTTGAATCATTCTTATTACACGTACTAATAGTTTGCAGTTGATTCTGTAAACAAAGCCTCTGTTATTAGTCTCTTCCTCCACCTGATTATATTAGATTTTAGAAATGGCATCTTAACCCATCATTCTATTGTATGGTTGTGTGCAATTGCATGCATTGAGTGTTATAGCTGAACCATTCTCTAGATTTCTTATTTTATTCGGTTCAACTAATCTAGATATTGCTAGGTCTTTATGTTCGGTTAGTCTGACTACTCGTCTTCTACTAGTCTGACCTATACATTTGAATTGACCATCGTTATAACAGGGTATTAGATAAACTAAATTGTTTTGTTTTAAACGCTCCACTAGCTGGATCCTTAAACCGACAAAGCCTGTTTCTAACTGAGCGTTTTGGGTTTGAATGCCAGTCATTCTTTTTTCCTGCCTTGCTAAGAATTCTGCGTAAGGTGGTTTCCGAGGTTCCTTCCTTGTATGGAATTACTACTGATGAATTAGGTTCCTTATTGTTGGTGCGCTGTCATTATCCTGTGCATGTTTCACATGCATGTCCTCATTATTATTAGTGGTTTTATTATCACCGTCATTATCACTATCTATTTTATTGATCTACTCAAACCGTTAAAAGTGTTATTTTGGTTTGGACATCTATAATCTACTTTTAGATTTTTCTACGTGTTTCCTGAATAGTTTACAAGGGTAACCATTAAGTTTTCCATCTTGGTTTTTTTGCAACTACTTAGTTTTTGTGCTCTGTTACTTGGTTTAATATCTGTTTGAATGTGTGGGTTTTCCTTAAAACACTAGCGTTTAACTTCCCATTTTTTATTCGTTTTTAATCTACAATCTGACATTGGAAGCTTCTCTTCCGGAATTTTCAATTCATAATTGAATAGCTACCAACTTTCAGTTGATTTGTTCAAAAAATCTACTTATGTTCTGTGTTATATGTATGGCAAATTCGTCAACTACACACCTAAATCTTACTTTTGGCGTGGGGCTGAACATTTTAGTCGCTATCATTCTCCACCGATCCATGACTTTATCTGCCGCAACCAGGCATATTGATGACATCATGGCAACTTCATCAGTCCGTTTGTATATTTCACCCTGGAATTTAAATACTGTAGAAGTCAGGCGTAGCTGCACTTCCAGCATTATGTCTTCAAGTGGCACTTTAGTCCTAAGTTTGAGTTCTTCCTCCGACATGAGTTCGTTTCTGACTATATTTATACCCATATTTATTGGTATATGTGCATATCAACTGACAGTATAAAAACTAGAGAACAAGGAAAACTATAAAACTCGCGTTTCGAAGATTATAATTGATATGACTGTAACAATACTAGATTGTGTACAAAACGTCATCCAGTAAATAGTACTGTTTCACTGTGTGCTATATCCAATAAACAAACTAACATGGAGTTTTTTAGGCCTCATTGAATGAATGTAGCTGTTTCGAGTTTTTCAATAAAGGGTTTTTTCCAGAGAGAATTAGATTTCTGTTTATCTTTAAAAATTGCATATATAGCTCACTTAATAACTTTATGTGAGTATTTGTATTGCTCTCAACTTTTATTAGCAAAACGAAAATCTTTGTAATAAAGGTTGTTTTGTATTTCTCAATGAATGAAAAACAAAACAGTATTGTTATATATACTAAAGTTTTGCTTTTTAATGCCAGTAGCTTACTCAAAGTATTATTAAACTGTAGAATCAGGCCATAACATTTATTCTGACAGTTTTGAAATAATCTAAGAAAATTTCAGAAATCACAAAGAAGGTCTCATATTATCAGAACCACCTTATATAATTTTCTGAAAAGGAATGATGAACTGAAACAGAACTTGACCCGGTTGCAACATCCACCTCCCTCCCCATGAAATGACAAAATTAACACAAATATGATAAGCGATTTCACAATGTAAACACAAGCTGCTTTTATAATTTTACACACTTATCAAATCCAACAATCTACACTTGGTTTTGTTATCTTTACGAATTAGTCAATTTGACAACGAAAAATTGACCCCGTTCTGCAGAACGACGATTAGGTTGTTATATATAAGCTGAGATTTTGTAAACTCTGGTTTAATAATACCACTCTGTTAAAGCTATTATCAGCAGCATTAAATAGTGAAAAGTCAGTAACAGAAACAATATAGTTTTGTTTTACATTCATTAGGAAATGCAAAATTCCGTTTTCTACAATGTATATCATATAACCAATTAATATCAGTAGAAAGTTTGAGTATTGTGGATTAGATCAAATAAAGTATAATTATATTTCAATAGTTTACACACAAATAACAAAACTTATCATTGTGTGTAAACTATTGAAACATAATTATACTTTATTTCATATAACCAACGCCCACACTTCGTCAAACGGTTGAAAGTGAACTTGGTTTGAACATATGAAACAATCTTTTTGTCTCAAAATTAACCAATTTTCTTAACTGTGGGTTCGATCCCCGACCAGTGAATGCACTCCTTTACCTCGCTGAGCCATAAATAATGCTGGTAAATGGAAAGGTTTGGCATGCGGCTAGCAATCTCATCCTGTAAAAATAAACACTGCTACAGAAACGTCAAGCCTCTAGCATTCAGCCATATGTTCCACTGGGAACGTGAAGGAAAAAAAATCAACTCAAAAAATCAAAAATCAAATGTCATTGAGCTACTGAAAGAAAATCGCATAATCCATAAATGCCAACCTCTGCCATTTTGAAATATATATATAGCCTGATTAGTATCGCTTAATCCGTGAGCATTCTTTCTCAGGCACAAATTCCAAATAAAACTTCAGGCATCTTCATCGTGTAGTCCACCATTAGTAAGCATTCTAGTGGTTTTCCAGTAATCGTTTTCACAGATCATCTCAAGAGTGATCACGAACTGACTTCAGTTAGACAATCACCGAGAAGCGTGTCTGTGAGACAGTTAATTCCTTCCTCCTTGTGGACTTGTCAATGGAGAGTTCCAAAATATGCTTTTTCAGTGGTCCACTAACTGAGCTGATTTCTTGAAATATCACTTCATTTTTATCAACTCTCGACAGTAAACGTTATTAAAAAATATCATTGAATTCTCCCAAACCTCTTGATAAGCAGGGACTACAGAACTTGGAACTTATGTTAGTTACAAACAGACTTTTACTGTAATATATTCAGAAATAGTTTCACTTCAGTAATACACCCGAATTGGCGTGTGCTATTGCGTGTGATGTGAAAGTTGAATGTATCAGAATGTAATCGTCTCTTTGATCAGATTGTTCCATGCGTAAATAATACCTCACTTGGTAAATAGGTCTGGTTTCTTTCTCAAGCACAAACCTTCTGATACTAAAGTCGAATAATTGGAAGGAAGATTTCTTCTCAAATTTTTCTTTTGAAACCGTAGTCTCAAAATATATTTTATCACTGTTGCAGACAACGCTAATTATACTTAATTGGATGGAGGATTTCATCGTAAGCTGACATCAGTTAAAGAACCATTGAGAAAACCAGCTGAGAATACTGGACGGCTGTTTCCTCCATCTAGTTTGTTACTCCTCATCAGTACACACCTACACTATGGGGTTCGAACTCAGGACATTTTGGCTACAAGGCGAGCAAGCTCGTAGACCATAAGGCAATCAGGACCCTATCCAGTGGTCTATAAAATTCTAACTTTTGCCAATTCATGACATGGTGCGACAATTTCGCAATGTCTTCTTCGATGGGTTACTGCTTTGTTTTCAACCTACTGTATCCTAATGGTCCATTACTCATAGGTTTTCCAACTGATGTTAGCTCATGGTGAAATTCTCCATGCAGTCAAACAAAATCTCTACGAAACCAATAACTGAAAATTTTCTTTTAGACACTAGACAATCTGATGCTCACTACTGACTGGCAGCAGGAAGAAGTTGCTCGGAGTTCTAGTGAAACATTGTGATCAGTAGGGTCCATGAAGTCGGCAGTGAGAATGGAATTCCTTGCCGATGATATCGACTGCAGCCAGTCACGCAAAATCACAAATTCGTAAAAGTGAGAATTTATGGGCTATTGGTTTGGGTACTAGTGGCTGAACGTTATACAAGCTTGACTTGTAACCAAAAAGTCCTTGTTGCGTGCTGCCTATGAGTGCCAAACTAGAATGACGAACACAGCTGTCCATTACTCCCTGCTTCTCAATAGTTCTCTAACTGATAATTTTCGAGGTGGTCTAACTTGAAATGTGATATGAATTTATACGTGTTGAACGATAAAAAGTGTGAATCTGATTGTTCACTGATGCCTTGAAGACATGAAATCGATAGAGCTTTTATAAGTAATTTCTCATATTTAATTAGAGACGACATATATTGCTTACAGCTTTGCTTTGTTTTATTTTGTCGAATTTACAATGTTAAACAAATGTTTTCACTGCCTATTTGTTTATTTGTTTGTTTCAATAGAGACATTTTCATACCAAAGAAGAGCACATAGTCAAAATAGTCTCTATATATGTCAAACATCGAATTGTTTTCTTTCATTGTTTTGTCAAATAAGCTAATTAATAATAGTTATTATTACTGTTTAGAGTAAATAAATAAATTTACTCAGTGTTACGATAGTTTTGATTTTATTGACAAACATTTACGAAGAGACAGAGATGTCTGAAAGATAGAAAACATATCTACAGCCTGAAGGAATAATCGATATGCTGTCTACAATCTATCTGCAGTGAAAATACGGATACCAAAATTAATAATAGTAGTAAAAATAATGCAATACACATGAAGCAACCTTTCGCAAGATCCTTATTATAAGATAAATAAGTGACGACTCAGCCCACATACACTGAGTTACAACAGTTCTTTTTAGTTCCTTGCATTCCGAGGGAAAAATATGGCTTCAGGTTACAAGATTCATTACTTTTATCAAACAAAGCGCGTTTCGCGTCGATCCACAATTATAAGTGGACCATTCAAGCGACTGGACAGCATTCTATCACTGAACAAAAGATGAGCATACGTTATGTTAGTTAATGCTAAATAAATCATTATTATCCAACTTTCTTCGGCATCTTCAATTTCGAAAAATGATTGACTTCTTAAAATAGAATTCTCAAGACACAGTGAAAGTATCAGAGTTAATTTAGAACCTTCGAAAATGATTGATAAACTGTTTCACAGTGAAGAATGGCTATATACTTATGGGGAATAACCTTTAGAACATTTGGGAAAGTATAAAAATTGGTTTTGTAAGGATTTTGTTGGTTTGATTGATTGGGGGATTTCATCACCAGCTGACATCAGTAAGAGAACCGTTGGAAAACCAGTTTGGATTAATGAACTTCTGTTTCCTCCTAATTTGAGAATGTTCATCGGTACGTATCTACCAACGAGGTTCGAAAGCAGGACCTTATGGTTACAAGGTGAGCTCGTAGACCATTTCCTCTCAGAGTACAAGGACGAAACAGCTATCCAGTACTCCCAGGTTTTGCAATTGTTATCTCACTGTAAGTGTAAGAAGTTTTTAGTTAAATTCTTCTTTTCTATGATTTCATTCTCACCAACTGTAGAGTCATGATTTCTGTACACTTACCGCCATACAATCTCTCGTACTTACATGAATTAAATAGCCATATATAGAGATGTAGGATGAAAATTAGTCAAAAGAAGAACTGAAATCAGTACTCTACTGGTCTGAAATATGATTGTGTAATATGTAATAAAATGAAACATATTCAAAGTATGCTTTGATAACTGGAGACAGTCGGCCACAAGAAGCCTCGCACCACCTAGATTTCGTGCTAGCTGGTACTCATCAGAAAGGCATGTCTGCAACCTTGACAGAAATCATGTCCCATCTGATATTCAAACCTGCGTCACGCAATGCTGTAGTCAGAGACGTTACCATTGAACTATTCTGACTCACGGCTGACCTTCTGTAGGACTGTAATGGATATTTGTGTATTAGGCAGTAGTCAGCAACGGGTGTTGCAGATACGTTTGCTGACTGGCGAATTCCAACTAGCATGAACCTAGGTCCAAGGCTTCCTGCCGATTGTTTCCACCCATCTAATAACAACAATTCGCAGAACATCGTGATGTCTAGCCACCTAGACTGGTGATCAAAATACCCACTTACGTGATAGAATTCAGTCTGCATTAAACAAAGGACTAGACACATTACACTAGTCACTGACTACTGTCCAATCAGAAATATGGTTATTAAGCTCAAAATATCATACATTAAGTATGGTCGAAAGAATTGACCAGAGGTTTGCACTTTAGGCAGACAATACACCTAAGGAAATTACTAATCCTGACAGTTTTGACATTCATAAAAGTCTTCTCTGGTAGGTCAGTCACTCATTGCTCTTCCAAGAATAACTATCAGTCTTTGTTCAACTAGCTCAAAGCAATTTTCCTTGTTAATAAATCTAGAGAATTCTCTGTCCTACTCAAAATATTGGAAATATTCACACCAAAAAGCACCTTCATCCACTATATCTTCAGTGAGGGTGGAATGTAGAACAAGAAGAATAAAGAAGTCACAATTTTACAGCTGCCGCAAGTGAAATCGATTTAAGATTCACATCTCCTGCACGTTTTGTTTATTCGTATTTGTTGTAAATGTAAAGTGTAGTGTAGAAATATTTTAATTCATCAAAAAAGCTTATCAATAACTCTGTTTGACAATGTGTTCCTTTCAAATTTCACCTCAAAGCCACAGGTGTCAAGCTGGAGCCATAAATGTTCTCTGTTTTGGGTGAGCTGATATTGAACAGTTGGCGAGTAGTGAGAAGGTTGAATGACTAGCTAAAAGATTACTTTCCTTGTGTTCTGAGGTAAACTTACCCCGGTGTTGTACTGACACTTCATTCGGCCAAATTCGATTGTCTGGTAGATTAATCAACATCGTCAAGTTAACATCCTGCTGTATAAAATGACCTTCATCAACTTTTTAAATTTCCCTCAAGAAACTACAAGTGATAAATGCAGTTGACTAATTAAACCAAACCTCTGGGTTGTGTTTAAGATCCAAAATATTGGGGTTGTCGAAAATTCCATACAACGTTACACAAATATAGAATAAATAGAATATACAGACCTCAAATTGTGAAGTTTTCAGGCTGTATACCGCCGAAGACGCCGTCAGTGTGCATCACTAAGAGTAAACTAATTAATATAGAAGAAAGTTGATTCGCCGTTTGAAATTAAACAAGGTGTGGATATCTTGCAAGAATAACGGATTCGAAAATCTAATGTTCAGCAGGTAGTGGAGTATAAAGAAGGCATGTACAGTAAAATCGTTAGGCCATTAAAAGATTATTACTCCAGATAAAGTAGGGTTTATACAATATGGGAAATAAATTTTGATGAAATCCAATAACCATATTTACGGAGCACAACAATGCTGGGCAGGATGTAAATTGTCACTTTACTGGTAGAAGATGGGAGATTTGGTGAAGGAATTTTTACTTGGAATGTGGTATCTCTATATAGCGAAATTACGTACACCTTATCTTCAAATCACCAGTTGCGCATATCTTCTGTGTTGTGTTACTTCTGGCTTTCATATTTTGTCTATTTGTGTTGCTTTCGCATCTCTCATTTTTCTTATAAACGGTGTCTCATTCACTTCACCTGACATCAAGACGATCTCCCAGATGGTTACTGTCTTTTTGCCAATGAACTTCTCTTCATAGACTGCTAATTAAGGCAGCGTGCTTGAACACCGAAATTCACTTCCACCAAAAAACCTTATTTCACCAAAATTTATTAGTGTTTTAATAATCCAGTTATATCGAATGAGCTATGCATGAACGAGCCCGTTGATTTGAAAAGCTTCGAAGTAGACGCTGTACAGTTCTTCCATAAAATGAAGATATCCTTCAGATTATTACCATACATATAAATCCTGTATGTAGATAAAAGTATTTCGCAACTAAATACGTTGAAAATCTTTGTACGATATGTTCACAAATCGTCTGAATTAAAGCTTTATTGTGATTGTTATTATTATTATAACTCGGAAAAATAAAACTAATCCTCAAAAAACCAACTATAGGAAAATAACTGATAAGTCCTATCAGTAGAACATGGCACAATACTACTTGCTAGTAATAAGGCATTTAGAAGATAAATTTCACGAAGTGATATCTTTTGTCAGTTTCATTACAGCCGTATTGCAACTAACGTGGATCGCAACAGTAAAATAAAAAGGAACGACAATTGTAAGTCGGCGGTACAGCAGTTAGGACGCTCGCCGACCATGCAAATGGTCCGGGTTTTAATCCTGGCAACTAAAGCACTCCTTTACTTCGATAAGTTGATAAAAAGGAAAGGTTGGGCATGAGGTTAGCAACCCATTCCTGTTTAAATAAATACTGCTACAGAAACGTCAAGCCCTTAGCTTGAAGCCCCATGTTCCACTGGGAACGTGAAGGAATAATAAAAGAATGACAATTACTCAGTTATCTAAAATAAAATATATACTAATGACCAGCCGCATGTTTAAATAGGTCAATTAGTCCATGGTAAAGGAAGGTTGAAGTCTATTGTTTTTTGTACACATAGTTTAGAATGTATGTTATTAATCCCAAGAAGTGCTTCCATCACCTGCAATAACCTTGATTTAGATTTATATGATGAAACAATTGTGAAGCAGACATTACTATTGATCATATGACCAGATAAGGAATTAACAGTAATATTATGGTAAGTTGGAAGTCTTAGTAATCTGCATTCAATGTCATTCTTGTTCTTTCTGTATAGCTTTACTTTACATCTAGCTGAGGTCTAGTAGATTGTGCAAAATATATTCCATCAGCATTTCTGAAAAATTTAAGTGAATGATTTGTTGGTTGACGGAGGTAAATGTGTTCTCTCTTCATTCTCAAGGAATATAATTTCATGGACTCTTTGGCAGTTGACACAAACTGGGAATTATTGATCTAAAGCACTGTTTGAATGATAAACAGGTTCGCTACGTAAGCTGACTTTCTTGGCTTCATTCTTTAATAGAGTGTAGGGTGCACATAATAATGATAATAATGACTCTATTCCAAACGTCATTAAACAGACAGAATGCAGATTTCAGGGTTCTATACATAGTGGAACAATTTGGCACCTTTTATAATTAAATAAATGCCTAAATTGAAAAGTCTCAGCAATAAGACAAAAGAAGCTACCTGGTAACTGTGACTTTCAATGAATCCCTGACTGGTATTGGTTTGTGACTGAATCTACACTGATAGCAATTGCAAGATAGTAGTACTTATGTAGTAGCAAAGAAAGTAAATGGATGAATAATTTATTCATAAAGTTTAACAAGTTTGAATTTGTGAATCAGTCAATTTACACACAGTCGTAAGTGTCTATGTTTATCCTCTTATTTGGGAAGTTCTTCATTGGACGACATATTCCTATACAGAGTCACAGGTAGAAGACGTAAACACCGAAGAAAATCTTTTTCGAAAATTCTTTTTTTCATTAGCTGCTGTACAATCGTAAATATATTTAACAATCGCTTCAGAAAACCAATCAGATGCTGGTAAAATTTGTCCTGGAAAAAAGCATTTCGTACTGTAAGTTGTAATATAGAAGAGTTCATTGAATGGAAAAGGGGAACATTTTGATGTGGTTGTGTTCTCTGAGCTAGATAGTTAGTTTGCGAAGCCTTCATCGCCCTACTCGGCGACATATTCAGTGCACACTTTAATTTGAAGTGAGCTTTTAGATTTCTCCACGAGTTTATTAATCATCTCTCCTGGTAACATTGGGCGTGACTGATTGTTTTTGTGTGTTTTCACACATTCTAGGTTACTTGTATTGGAACTGATCGTTTCTTTGACTTGAACTTTGACCTCTTCTATGGGAGGTTTCTTTCTTATCGATTGATAAATTTTGTCTATCTCTATGTGTCTATTGATTGATGATTTACTGGAATGCCAAGCTTCTAAAAATTCACTAGCATTCTTCTTGTTTCCTCTGTCTAATATTTGAATGCTGGTTATCCCAGTCGAGTTGATTTCTGTGGTTGTTTGTATGTAGTGACATGGGAGAGTGCATATCATGTCTTTTGACGGCTAGCTTATGTTAGCGGATACGAAGACGACGAAGGGGACGTCTGATTACAATTTATTTTGTTGATGATGTTGATTTTATCTTTTTTTTTTGTTGAGTCTCTTGGTTGACATGAAACCAGAGGAGCGAAGTGACTTTGTTGTTTTGTGTGCGACGTCAATTCTTAAAGGTTTGAACAGTCTTGCAGTGATTTCTGAGATAATCTTTATGTATGGTAAGGCGATTTTCTTTGTGCTTTCTTAGAGGCTTTTGGTTTGATAGGATGGCTTGGGGGTTTATGACTTTTAATGGGATTCCGTGGATAACCATTCTTTTGGAAGACGTCCATGAGATATCTTCCTTCAATTTGCCTTAAGATGAGAGTGCTGTAATAAGTTTCTGGTTCTCCTGAATAGTGTTTTTATGCAATTCTTTCTGTGTGTTATTGGACTGTTGCTGTTGTAACTCAAGATTAGGTCTGTGTGAGTTGATTTTCTATAAACTTGAGTTTATAACTCCCCTGTGGTTGTTCGCTTGACTAAGACGTCCAAAAATGGGATTTGGTTCGTGGATTCCTCTTCTCTTGTGAAATTGATCTCATTGAAACGCTGTTTATTAAGTTTTGAGTTTTATCTAACTTGTTTCTGTTGATTATTACAAATGTGTCGTCGACATAACGTCTGCAAATCATGGGTTTGATCTTTGGTAGAATTACGCTTTCGAGCCTTTACATCACTGTTTCTGCAATCAAACCTGATATTGGTGATCCCATGTGTGTTCCTATGACTTGTTCATATATTTGGCCGTTGAATTGGGAGTATGTTGTTAGGCATAGGTTTATGTATTCCATCCAGCTTGTGTGTTGCATTTTTGATTGTTGTGGGAGGTGTTCGTCGTTGCTAAGTAGTTGCTCCATGACCTTTTTTGCTAGTTTTGTCCGATTGAGTTATACCATACTGTGACATCGAAGGATATCATTATTTCTTGGTCGTCTATTTGGATGCCTCTGATTTTCTCTAGGAATTGGATAGCAGAGTTGATGGAGTGATCACAAGATTCCATTAGGTGTTTTAGTCTTCTGTATAGTTCTTTGGATAAATTATATGTTGAAGTTCTTGGGAGTGATGCAATTGGTCGTAATAGGATATTTGACTTGTGTATTTTGGGTCCGCCGTAGAATCGGAGTAGGATTGGTCCACTGGATTTCATTCGCCATTGGTCTTCTTAGTGGTCTGTCCAGTTTCGGTGAGCTTGTTTAAGGTCCTTTGGATGCGGTTGTTTAATGTGTGTATGAGATCTGTTGGGAGTTGTTTATATTCATCTTCGTCTTTGAGTAGTTCTTCAGCTTTCTTGGTGCATTCTTCTCTGTCCATGACTAGTGTTGTTCTTACTTTGTCGGCTGGTAGAATGACGATGTCCTTCCTATTTTTCAGCTTTTTGAGGGTCTTTAGTTCTTGAGAGTTGAGTTACGTGTGTGTTGTATTTTTCTGTTTGACCATTTGTACAATTGTTTGGCGTATTTCTTTCTGTGTTTCCTCGTTCAGTTTGATGATTTGAGTAATGATTCAAGGGCAGCGAAGAAATGAGTTTACGAAGTATCACCGGTGTTGTAGTTTAATCCTTTTCGCAGTAGTTGTTTCTTGACAGAAGGTTGTATCTGATAAATGTCTGCGGCATGCTGATTTGAATGCTTTCGCTTATGCACGTAACAAGTACGTGAAAATCATCGACGCCGTGGGTTGAAATTAATATTAGAAATTCCGATCTTCTTCTTTGTGCTTAACATCATTGACCTCGACACCGACTTCAGATTTAAAAAAATTCCTGTCTTCCTTTTCTGGTTGCGGCATGCTCTGAAATTCTCATCCCTGTTGTCTGAGGCAGAAATTTTGTTACCCTCTAGGTAAATAAAAGACAAAATTCCACTTAGATTCTTTTAGATCGCCGGCGATTGGCGTTTAATTTTGTTCGTTACAAACGTTTTAATTTCTCCGTTTTCCCAATGGTCATCTAAAGTGCTGTCTTCGCTACTACGTGAGATTCATTGGCTGTAAGCTGGCCATTTCAGCTATGGAACCAGTTCTTCACTTCGAAGACTGTGTTCGTTGAATATGGCTACCATTTTCTCTTAATAACTGTCATAATTCTGAAAGTTAAGGAAACCAAAATTATTAGATAATACAAGCTTTACAAAATATCGCACACTCCAAGAGTTGGAATAACAACCGAATTTCTGTAGATAAGAATCCGTTTTGAATTCTTGAACATTACGAGTCATCGTTTTTAACGGCAAAAAATTGAAGTGCCACTGAAATCCCTTTTAGGCTCAATTTATGAGGTCATGAAAATATGGAAAAGAAAAGCTTTTTAAGGCTTATTTCGTGGATTTCACATAAATAACTACTGTTTGAACGCTAGATAGGTACTACGTTTGCTGATAAATACAATAGTAAAACCCAGGCTACCAGTGATACACACTGGATCAATCATCACTTATTGATTTCTCAAGTTGGAAAAGGCAAAACAGCAAGTTTAAGATGACATATTCAATGCATTTGAATGTTTCACAAGAATGGTCATTGAAAAAAGAATATTCTTTTCGATAACCTGCTCTTCATCACGTTCTGCAGTTATGGTGAATGAATCAGTGTTATTAACAAAATTAATGTTTAAGTAACATAGAATCGAATCAATAACAATATCAGTGGATTACAGTTCGACGGCGTCAACATTACAATACACAGAAAATCAGAGACACTAGGAAAGATCATAATACAAATTCACGAATTTATGGTCGCTACTGAAGTCCAGGGCAGTAGTGGTGGCTAGACTTGCTACTTCTGCATAAAGAGCACCGTTGGTCTCAGGCGAATAGAGCTTAGTTTCAGCTATTCGGAGTATGCGGCGCCTCGATGTTTTCGGCAATTTATTTTCTACCTGGTAGACGTTAGAAAGTGCTGATCTGTAGAAATTTGATTAATTTCAAAACACATGATTTCTATTTCGCAATTCTTCTACAGTTTCCATCTGTGAATTAGTCAGAAATTTGACGTATGACTCTCATAATTGGAATATAAGCCTAAAAATATACAATTTGTTCATTACTGTTAATCCTATTGACTACAGTATTGATATTGACAATTTTCAGGTCATAGTTTATAATGCAGAACTTCAAAAACAATTCACAGTGCACCGTAATGGCAAGCCACCTAGTCTAGTGCCCACATAGCAAGCTTGACTGATAGAATTCAGTCTGCAGTGAAGATATGACTAGACACATTACACTAGTTACTGACTAGTCTGCAATCAAAAATATAGTCAATACAATCCTACAGGAGGTCAACTGCCAGCCTAAATAACTCAGTGGTAACGTCTCTGACTGCAGTACTGGGTGACGCGGGTTCGAATCTTAGAAGGGATATGAGTTCCTTAAAGGTAGTAGATACGCCTTTCTGACGAGTGCCAACTAGCAGGAAACCTAGGTCCACGGTTTCCTGCCGATTGCCTCCAACCAACTTATACCAATGTAGAATATCACTTACTCAATTTTCCTAAGTTGCTTGAATCTCCTATTGGTTACTAATGCTGTTATCTTGCAAACGACTCCTACATTTGATTGAATATTTAAAGTGTATTGTCTTATTGATATCACTGTACATTGTTTGTTTATTAGACGCCTGCGCAATCGAATCTCGAAAATTGCCTGCATCTTCAACATAATCTGTAAGTCAACAAATGAATGAAAAGCTAACATTATACACGTGATTTGTCGAAATAATATAAATTTCAAAGAAAATTGCTTGATAATATTTAGTAAATTTCTTCATTTGGCTTCATACAGAATGCGATTTGCATATATTACCTTAGTGTTGCTGGTTTCTCTGTTCGCTGTAGCAAAAAATGTTAATGGAGGTAAGTGTAAAATAGAGTTTAATGCATATTACGATCAGGAATCTGAAATAGATTTGCAGTGATAGGGCTGTTCAGTGTAATTAATAATATTACTATAATTGATATGCTTCACTGGTCCATACAGGCAATACTCCTATCGTTACAAGTGTTCTCTGAACACGTTGTATACATTTTGTACCACCTTCATGTGTGTCAGCTATAACCATTGAGAAGTTGTTCAAATTAAAGTTGTAGCAAATGAGTAAAGTAGCCGATAGATCGAGATAAACCTGCATTATATTCATATGAGTTGTCTCCGAAGAATTCGATGTACTTCCCCTGTTTTGTGTGATCAGTACTAATTCGTTGTCTCTAAATAAATAAAAGTCAATGAAATGTAAGATGTAGGCCTACAATTACGCTGAAGAACTAAGACATAAAAGAATCGTGTTGCAGTCAGGGTTAATTAATCAGGAAATTCGTTCATCAAAATAATTATCAGTAAACACAACAAATTAATTCTCAACTGTAGTATGAATCACTGAGATGTCATCACCGATATAAAAATGTCACATATTTTAGCCGAATAACTGTATGGTCCACTTGTTATGTATAAACATTGGAAATGACTCTCGTATTTCTTAACTGAATCATATATATATATATATATGTATATATATAGTGAGTCGCAGTAATTTATCTGTAATTCTCCCTGGCTTGGAAAACAATTCTCAAATTAGCTTCTTTCGGATTATGTGTGAATGTCTAAGAAGTTATTTCAGAGATACTTTTTATAACATCCAACTAAACGTTTTTATTTTAGAACAAAATGGTAATAGTAAGTGGAAAAAATGCATACACTACACGAATAAAATGTAGAAAAATTCCAAAAAGACGCTTTGTCATCGTATAACAGTATTCATTTAATTGCTATTGTGAAGCGTTGAGCTTTTAAATACTTTCTTAAAATACGCTACAATTTTTCACCTGTATTTCTTAAAGGTGCAGTTCAGTAAGCCAAATTAATTTGTTTATATAGTTTACATCAATTACTCACCTTTTCATAACTAACACTGATGACCAAGTATACCAATTTCTTTTCAGTTATCTCACTAAGTACCCCGCCTTATTACAACGCATATGTAACAGCTAAATATTCAGTTCTTACATGATTTGAACCAGGGGGGATTTAAAACCTAAACATGGAGTGTATACTCGAGAGTTTGTCCGGTAAGACAAGCTTTGCAGCTATATATTCCGCCTGAAAGTACATAGCTGCATGAAGACTTGAAATTAAGGAAAAGCTGTTTCATCCTTGTTTGAAAATCTTGTGCATCAAGCAACCGTGAATTGATGATAATGATAATAGCTTTATTCCAAAACAGTACTTGTGATACACAGTATGGAATTCTCAGCATTTCACTACAGTATTGCGCATCCAGTTAGTACACTAACAATAAAATAAAATTCTACATAGATTAAGGGTAATCTCAGTTAGTTTTGACAACAACATATTAGCATGTCGGTAGCAAAGCCAAAATTGAACAGAGTGTTTGAAGAGGCTAGAAAAGTAGGTGCTAGTATATTTTCAGGCGTAAGCCGAAGAAAGAAATAAAGCTGCACATAACAAAAAAGAGAGAAAAAAAAGGAAAAGAAAGAAAGAAAACGTTGTACGTATAAATCATATGAGTTGGAAAGACGAGATTCAGTTATTCTTCTGACTATTTAATAAATTGTAGGTATCACACCTTATGCTTTCTTTATCGCACAGAACACGAGCTAAGTAGGATAAAGTTGAGTTTTTGTACTTGCTAGTGCGAGTATATAGTTTTCTATATAGGCTTTCGGTTTTGCCAGTTGAGATACAAGGGGAGGGCTGTGAATGAAGAGGGTGTTGGGAGTTAGATAGAATGGATTTTGCCCATTTTTCACATGAGTCCATGTGCCTGTCAACCAGAGATCAGATGCAAAACCTTCATATGTAGCTGGAAAGGGGGCAGTCCAACAAATCATCAAAGAGGCAATTGTCATGAGGCTGATAAATTCAAACCTCTTTAAAATCAGACTTTTGTTCTACCTTGAATTATCAGCTGTTTACATTAACAGTTGTCTATTGGTGCAAGCCTATCCGCGATAACATAACTGCCAGAGCATCATGTTTTAGGATCACAATAAAAATAAAATCACACCATGCTGAAGACTAATACTGTTTTCAATGTGTTTTAGGCAGAAAACTTTATTGCAGTAAGATACAAAATATTATTTTCAAAATAATATTTTCTATCCTATAGACTCAGCGTCTGACGATGTGTAGCAACTTCGGGAAGATTGTGCACAACATCTTGTGACTCAACTCTTAGTATTTACCTCTTTCTTTGATTGATTGACTGACTGATTCTTATTCTGCTTTGGACTGTTTTCTTACGATTTTGCTTTCTGCTTGGGTGAACTCACGGTATTACCCTAAATTGGCTACTTGTCTTTGGACTGTCTACTTGAAACGTAGTCTATACTATACGGTTTTTGCAGACATAATCCTTTGATTATAAATATTCTTGTTGGTTTGTATGCAATTTGAGATTTCTTTTGGGTAATTAAATTTATTATATGGTATATTTTATATACCTGGAAAACGTTTAGACTGTCCAGGTGCCTTAAGTTATTCCTGAGTTTGCATTCACAGCAAATCACAGAGGTTGTGGTCGTTACAGTTATCACTAGGTTAAACGTCTCATTATTCTTCATATTTTAGAATGATAAAGTTGGTTTGCTTTCATACCTGATGTATGGCGGAAGAGGATCGGGTTAGAACTATTTGATAACGAAACTTTCTTGAGCATATAATCCACATGTTGTCTGATAAACGCTTATTCGTTAAACGGCAGTCTGTTATTCTGCGAACGATCATTTCATCAAGTAACACAATCATTCTCTGAATCTTAGTTCATAGGCAACAATCGCAGCTCATTGGCGAAAACTTACAGATAAATGTTTCTGTCATTCAAGCCTAGGATTTCGATATATTCGTATGCATCCATTAAATTAGTGCTTAACCATCTTCATACATTTTTATCAATGAAGATCATTCTGGGATTGGCTGAGGTAAGCATCTCTAAAGTGCTTAATCATACGACGAATTTCAACTTTTTGCAGTTTAAAATTATTTATGCAACTTTAGTTTTATAGATTGCATTGATATCTGTAAGGGGCCGGTCAGAAGTTGGAAATCACAGGCTACTGAATCTTCGTCGAATTGGTTGAACGGCTGACGAATTTGGCCTAGAGTTCGATTCCTGGTGAAATCGATGATACATCTTTTGGAGATTGTAGAGCCTAATTAAATACGACAGTTGTTTGCTTCATTTTTTACCTTCCACAGTAGACAAACCGAAATTAGAAATTACGGTACTGGAAATCAACACCCGTGATTCATTATCCACTTGACAAATATATAATAATGTCAAATTTGGTAAATATTATTTATATTCCATTTGAAGCGGAATTTTAAAATTTTTATGGTGAGTTATATTTTTATGTTTTAGAACCATAAATTTTCACCAACTGACGAAATATTGAACAAAGTAAAACACGAATATTGTTCAAATACTTAATTATCAACGAATACAATTTCAGTTTATATTCAAGTTAGAATTAAGGATGGAATGCATACCAGTTAGGCAGAAGATCTAGGAATTATTCGAAGTTAGCATAGGCCTGAACCTCACCTGATTGTTGATAAACGTGGATATGAGGGAAGTTTTAGCGTCAGGCAGAATCCATTATACCGTTAAATGTAACAACACCGCTATATATTGTTCATAAGCCTGAAGCCATATGTTACAAATAAGAGTAGGTGAAGAATATTGATAGCTCATGCAAAATTCAGTTTAATTGTCAATATCCAAGGAAACACATTGTAAACCCAGCAACTTTCAAACATACAATGTTATAAATGCCTCCGGACTTTAACACCACGCATATACAAAGGATCATTCTTATAACAGTATTGACTTCTTACTTTTTGAGTGAAACACTTGGTCTCAAAGACATATTTCTATTACACTCTTCCCTCGATTGTCACATTCGACTTGTTTCAAGACTGGCCATAAACTATTAATTCCTTCTCGAATAATAGTCACCAAATCATTTACCAAAGCACCTCCAACTCGTCATCTACTATTCGGATGCCTCTTAATGCGCAGGTGTGTGATTTCGATTGAGTTGCTTCTCGGCATATCTTTAGTCCAGTCGCATTTTCTTCTGATTATTTGCTTAGCGATAGCCTGTTTTTTGGTACTGAACTACAACTCACTGTGTATCATTTCTGGGCAGCCAGAACTTGTTAAGAAGAGTGTCATGATCTGATGATGAAATAGTTCGCCTACTTAGCTTCCTCAAAATATTGTCAGATAGATTTACCATACAGTTAAGTGTAAAATGAGAAAATATAGCAGGAGAATCAATTTAAACAAGATATATCAACAGTTAAGGAATAGCTAACAGCAAACATTTTTGAATAATAATGGCTTTATTCTAGACAGTATTTACACAATGTATACAATTTCCAGAGGAGTTTATCACATGATATTTTCCCTACATACAATATCTTCGAGTAAAATATTATTTTACAGTGGCAGAATGGTCTCCGAGCTGAAGTGCATCGGTGGCACAGTGGTTAGGACTCTCGCCGACCATGCACATGGTCCGGGGTTCGAGCCCTCGCCGACGCACACCTGATATCTTTGGTTGGCCTGCGAAATTTGGGCTACCGATATCCATGCTGAAAATCCCATACTTGTACCAAAAAATACAGTGTGGAATCAAGCTGTAATCAAAAATTTAAAAAAATTAAAAAAAAAATTAAAATTAAGTACAAAGCACTCTTTCATGATATATCTGCTTTTTCATTCTCCGTGTGAAGTCCACCCATGGTATCTAGTTCAAATCCAATTGTAAGATGTTCAGAACTACATTTTGTTACTCAAGGACATAAATGAAGAACGCGCATCTCATATACTGTCATCCACCATCATGCTTTTCCTCATGTTTAGTAAGGACTTGTAAACATTTCAAATATGCACAACGGTAGATAATACCAATGGAGGTCATATCTCAAACGATTAAAACAAACTGAACAGGAGAAAATGTACGCATTAGAGTGATGGAAGTTTTTGGTAGCGCAAGTTTCACACAGTAAACTCAATGATGTCTATGACTTCTTAAAAACCTCATTGAATAAATGTAACTGCTTGGAGTTGTTAAAGAAAGTGGTTTCTTCCAGACAGGATATGATCTCACTTTATTTTTTATGAAATGTATAAAATAGCTCACTGAGCAGCTTCGTGTAAGTATTTATAATGATCTTAAATTTTGTCAGCAATACAACACTTCTTGTAGAAATGTTTAATGTATTGCTTAATGAATGAAAAAGAAAACGATATTGTTATAATTACTTACATTTCCCTATTTAATGCTGCTGATAATAGCTTTATCAAAGTGCTATGAAACTATAAAATCAGGCCTGATATGTCACTGGCACAGAGGTTGGGACGCTCGCCGATCCCTGCACACTGACGCACTCCTTTACCTCTCTAAGCCAGAATTAAAGCTGGTAAAGAGCGAAGGTTAGGCAGGAGGCTAACAACTCCATCCTAAATAAATAAACACTACTACAGAAACATTAAGTGTCTAGCTTGAAGCCTCTGCTATGTTCTATTGGGAACGTGAAATAATAAAGAATGTGGAATCAGGCCACGAAAGCTGATTTTGACAATATTAAAATAATACAGGAAAATTTAAAAAATCACAAAGAACGTCTCATATCATCAAAATAACTTCATATCATCGAATGGAATCCAAATTGTCTGAATAGGAGTGATGGAATGAAACAGAATTTTATCTAGTTATAACACCTCTCTACCCCATAAAGTGACAAAATCAACACGAATGTGATAAGCAATTTCAAAATGCTGCTTTTATAGCTTTACGCACTTATCAAATCTAACAGTCTGCATTTGGTTATGCTATTTTTACCAATAGTTGGATTTGTCAACGAAAAATGACCCCATATTGAGGAACGATGATAAGGTTGTTGTATATATAAGCTGAGATTTTGTAAATTCTGGTTTAATAATACCACAGGGATATAGCTATTAGCGGCAATATTAAATAGCCAAACATCAGTAAAAGTAAGAATATCGTTTTCTTTTTCATTCATTAGGAAATACAAAAAACATTTGTCTATAATGAATATAATATAACCAATGTCCACATTTCTTCAAACTGTTAAAACTGAATTTGTTTTGGACATACATAAAACATTTCGAGTCTCGAAATTTCCATTAAATTTCAACTTTCGAGAACTAATTTATCCAACCCTCTCAATTGTGAGAAAATGTGATAAATGCAGACAAGTTGTCACGTGATTAGCAGTTTAATTTCGTAACCCAGCTTGCAGATTTCCAGAGTGGTTTGATTCCTGCCAGTATCAATCATTACCCATCACATAGGTGATAATCTGTCACTTCAAGACTATCTGAGGTAGTCTCATCACAAAATAAAGTCATTATATTTACTCAGCTTCTAGACATAAATCCAGCTAATTTATCCCACATTCAGTGTCATTATTATACTTTTACTGGTGGAATAGAATTTGTACTAGAATTCACAGAAAGTAATGAAACCGGTAGTTTGAGAAAGATAGTAATATTTCCCGTAAGAATGACTTTATATCGCTTAGTAATTATTTCGGAAATTGTTTATTATAATAACAAGGGTTATTTTAAGCGTGTTGACAAGATTACTTGGGTGAATGACAGTATTCTGCGTTTATCTTAAGAGCGACTTCTGAGATGTTCTGAAGACGAGAAAGCCGTCTATACATCCAAGTTTTTATAGCCTAGTAAAACTTGTTTCAGCAAAAATCCAATTCATACAACTTCATGTAATGGTGATAACGAACGAACGTCATTTAGAGAACCATTAAAAATCAAGAAGTAAAGAATAGCTGTTAAGTCCTTGTTTGGAACTCTTCTTTAGCAGGCTAACATTAATTCACCAGAGGTCAAAGGCAAGACTTCCAGACTATCATCCAAAAACTCATCAATGCCAACCATAGGTAATTTTAGATATATAGTGTGACTGGCGTCGTATTTCCTCACTGAGTATTCCTCCTCACATTAAACTTCGCGGAACCCGCTGTTCTCGACTTCCCACTGAACAATAAGGTATCTTCGTCTTACTGGTAGCGACTAGTGAGCATTATATTGATTTTCCAGTATGGTTTTTCAGGGATTTGAATAATCCAAGAGTGATCACAAACTGACTTCAATTAAACGATCATTGAAAAGTTAGGTTGTCGAACAGCTGATTCCTCCTTTCTTGTGTATTTGTCTCTGCAAATGCTTGAACAATCTGGTGGCTGCATGATGTACACGCTCGCCTTGTAACCAGAAATTTCTGGGTGCGTACTGTCAATGAGTCGCAAACTAGTCTGACGAAACAGCTGTCCAGTACTCGCTGCTTCTCAATAGTTCTCTAACTGATATCTTTCCGTGGTCTAAACTAAGGTTTTATAATGCACTATGCTTCTTGAACAACGAAAAGCCTGAATTGGATTGTTCACTGATGACTTCCAGGCATAAAATCGATAGAACTTTTTATAAACAATTTTTATTGTTTAATTAGAGACGACAAATATTGTTTACATCTTTTGTTTTATTTTGTCGGATTTACAATGTTAAACACTGATAGTTTGACTTCAGTTTGTCGTATTTTGTTTTCACTGACTATTTGTTTATTTGTTTGTTTTAATAGAGACATTTTCGTGCAAAAGTCAAAATAGTCCCTAAATATCAAACATCGAATTATTTTCTTTCATTGTTTTGTCAAATAAGTTAATTAATAATAATTAATTGAAGTAAATAAATGATTTTATTTAGTGTTACGAATGTTTTGACAAACATTTTCGAAGAGACAGAGATGTCTGGAACATAGAAAACATGTCTACAGACTGAAGGAATAATCGACGTGCTGTCTACAATCTGTCTACAGTGAAAATAAAGATACTATAAATAATAAAAATAATAATGCAAGACATATGAAACAGTCTTTCACAAGATCTTTATTTTAAGATACATAAGCGACAACACAGCCCAGAGGATTTGAGTCATTAAACATACACTGAGTGAAAACAGTTCTTTTTAGGTAAGTACTTTTCTGTACGTAATTTCAAAACGACCTACATAAAGTTTCCTAAATATTCGGCTGCACAGAGGCGAAAGAATTGTTATACGCAGAGTGAAGCGAGAGCTTGTTCTTGTAGTTATCTGTAAGGTGTAGACAACAAGATAATTAAAGAAGTCCGCCTCTTTATTTCCGTCCTTTTAGTGGTTTCCTCCACGATGAGGTAACTGCTAGGACCCATTATAGCAGACATTTTCCTTATGAAACCAGAGAAATGGCCTTTGAAAGATGTAACTTATGAACTTGAGTTCTACTGTCGGTACATGCATGATACATTTCTGATTATGAAAAATGAGAATGCAGCAAAGAATATCCTAGACAAATTTAACGATGTTCATCCCGCAATAAATTTTACCACTGAGAAAGAAAAAGACTCCAGTATTTCATTTTAACGCGTCTTTATGCCTAAAGAGGGTGATGGCACAATAAGGAGAAGCATATATAGAAAACCTACCTCATTTGGTTGGTATATCTATTTTTCATCTTCGTGCTTTTGCAATAAAAATGCAATCCCATAAAGTGCTTGGTCCATAGAGCAAGACAAATTTCCTCGGATGAATATCCTAATGAAGGATTTAATTTTATTAAACATTTTCTGAGTGAGAACGGTTATCCATAAAAATTCATCGATAAGGATATGAATCAAAAGTCAAGGCAGTCCAAAGTACCGACAGTTCCTAAAAAAGCCCTATGCTTACGAATTCAGTTTCTCAAGGATAATATCAACGAGATATTAGCCCAACATCTTAGGATTGCTGTGAAAAAGGCACTCCCTGCTGCTCAATCGTGTTCTGTCTTCAAAACCACTTCTATTTTGCTTTTGGGACTTCTTGATAAACTACCTAGTTTCGCCTCATTCATGTGTATCTAACAATTTAACTGCTCCTGTAGAGCCAGTTACATAGGCAATACAATTAGGCGTGTTTCTCGTCGGATTTCCTAACATCACCCCTCGTAATAAGCAAAAGACAAACAAAATTCATTCATCCATTCTATCTCATCTTGCAGATACAGAATAAAAGATTGATGTCAGAGGGGCGTCTTTTAAAGGTGATTCATCTTGCAGCAGGTTTACCTAATACATATTGCTAAGTCCGTTTCAATTCGCATTAAGAAGCCTAACTGTCAGTGATTATGAACATTGATCATCTGTTCTCTGGCTTGGGTCATCACTGGCGGGCTATCTGAAGGCGCCAGTGAATCGCTCATGTTCAAATTGGAAGAAGAAGAAAGACAACGAATAGAAGTACAATACATTACTTGTAAGAACTTTTGTTTATGGAATAAGTAAGCAATATGGACATTAACAATCGAAGAATACAATTTCTTGTCATCCATTGTATTTGGGAATTAAAGTCGATATTTTTGCTTAGTGGCTGTCAATTCGGAGTGTCTTCGGAAATAATAGTATCTGAGGATTAATTTCCTTGATAGATGAGTATTCTAAAATATTCCATGTATTAGATGATTGGAGACAATCGGCCACAAGAAGCCTCGCAATACTTAGCTTTCGTGTTAGCTGATACTCGTCCGAAAGGCATTTCTGGAACCTTGAAGGAAGTGATGTCCCTTCTGAGATTCAAACCAGCGTCACCCAATGCTGTAGTCAGAGACGTTACAACTGAACTATACTGACTCGTGGCTGGTCTCCTGTAGAACTGTATTGGATATTTTTGTACTAGACACTAGTCAGAAGCTGATGAGTTCAAACTAGCATGAACCTAGGTCCGAGGCTTCTTGCTGATTGCTTCCCCCCCGCCATCTAATACCAATAATTCACGGTGCACCGTGATGTTTAGTCACCAAGTAAGGTGATCAAAATGCACACTTGAGTGATAGGATTCATTCTTCATTAAACAAAGGACTAGACACATTACACCAGTTACTGACTTCTGTCCAATCAGAAATATGCTTGTTAAGCTCAACATATCATACATTAAGTATATTCGAAAGAGTTGGTCAGAGGTTCGCACTTTAGGCAGAAAATACACCTAGGGTAATTACTAGTTCTGACAGTTTTGACATTCATAAAAGTATTCTCTGATCGGTTGGGCATTCTTTGGTCTTCCAAGAATATCTATCAGTCTTTGTTCAACTAGCCTAAATAAATTTTCCTTGTTAATAAATCTAGAGAATTCTCTGTCCTACTCAAAATATTGGAAATACTCATACCAAAAAGCACCTTCATCCACTATATCTTTGGTGAGGGTGGAACGTAGAGTGAGAAGAATATAGAAGTCACAATTTTACAGCTGCTGTAAGTGAAATCGATTTAAGATTCACATCCCCTGCACGTCTTGTTTTCTTTTTTCTATTTGTTGTAAATGTTGGAATTCATCAAAAAAGGTTATCAATAACTCTGTTTGACAAAGTGTTCCTTTCAAATTTCACCTCAAAGCCACAGGTTTCAAGCTGGAGCCATAAATGTTCTCTGTTTTGGTTGAGCTGGTATTGAACAGTTGGTGAGTAGTGAGAAGGTTGAGTGACTCGCTAAAAGATTATTTTCCTTGTGTTCTGAAGTAAACTTACCCCGGTGAAGTACTAACACTTCATTTGGCCAAATTCGATTGGCTGGTAGATTAATCAACATCGTCAAGTTAACATCCTGCTGTATGAAATAACCTTCATCAACTTTTTAGATTTCTCCCCAGTAACACCAAACAATAACTGCAGCTGACTAATTAAACCGAACCTCTGGGTTGTGTTTAAGATCCAAAATATTGGGGTTGTCGAAAATTCCATACAACGTTACACAAATATAGAATAAATAGAATATACAGACCTCAAATTGTGAAGTGTTAAGGCTGTATACCGCCGAAGACACCGTCGGTGTGCATCACTAAGAGTAAACTAATTAATATACAAGAAAGTTGATTCGCCGTTTGAAATTAAACAAGGTGTGGATATCTTGCAAGAATAATGGATTCGAAAATCTAATGTTCAGCAGGTAGTGGAGTTTAAAGAAGTCGTGTATAGTAAAATCGTTAGGCCATTAAAAGATTATTACTCCAGATAAAGTAGGGTTTATACGATATGGGAAATAAATTCTGATGAAATCCAATAACCATATTTACGGAGTACAAGAATGCTGGGCAGAATGTAAATTGTTACTTTACTGGTAGAAGATGGGAGATTTGGTGAAGGAGTGTTTACCTGGAATGTGGTATCCTTATATAGCGTAATTACGTACACCTTATCTTCAAATCACCATTTGCACATATCTTCTGTTTCTTTGTGTTGTTTTCGCATCTCTCATGTTTCTCTGAAATGGTGTCTCATTCGCTTTGCCTGACATCAAGTCGATCTCCCAGATGGTTAATATCTTTTTGCCAATGAACTTCTCTTCATATACTGCTAATTAAGGCAGCGTGCTTGAACACCGAAATTTATTTCCACCAAAAGTTAATATTTCATCAAGATTTATCACTGTTTTAATCGTCCTGTTATCTCGGATGACCTATGCATGAGCGAGCGCGCTGATTTCAATAGCTTCCAAGTAGACACTGTACAATTCACCATTAAATGAAGATATACTTCATATGATTACTTTACGTGTTAATACCCTATGAAGAAAAAAGTATTTCGGAACTAAATACGTTGAAAATCTTTTTACGATGTCTTCGCAAATTGTCTAAATTAAAGCTTTATTGTGATTATTATTATTATAACTCACAAAAACATAGCTCTTCCTTAAAACCCAACTATAGGAAAATAACTGATAAATCCTACCAGTAGTACATGCCACAATACTACTTGCTAGTAATAAGTAGTATACAGTTAAATACAAATTGAACTGTGAGAAAAAATAAATAAGCTATTTGAATGAGGCATTTAAAAGACATATTTCACGAAGTGATATCTTTTGTCAGTTTCACTACTGCCGCTTTGCAACTATTGTGAATCACAATAGTAAAATAAAAAGGAATGACAATTGAAAGTCGGTGGTACAATGGTTAGGACTCTCGCCGACCGTGCTAACAGTTCGGGGATTGATTCCCGGTAACTAAAGCGCTCCTTTACTTCGATAAGCCAGTGATAAAGCTGCTAAAGAAGAAAGGTTGGGCATGAGGTTAGCCAGCACATCCTGTAAGAATAAACACTGCTACAGAAACTCCAAGCTTCTAGCTTGAAGCCTCCGCTAAGTTCCACTGAGAACGTGAAGGAATAAAAAAGGAATGACAATTACTCGGTTATCTAAAACTACATATGCTCTAATGAACAGTCGCATATTTAAATAGGTCAAGTAGTCCATGGCAAAGGAAGGTTGAATTCCATTGTTTTTTGTAAACATAGTTTAGAATGTATGCTATTAATCCCAAGAAGTGCTTCCATCACCTGCAATAACCTTGAATTAGATTTATATGATGAGATAATTGTGAAGCACACATTATTATTGATCTTATGATCAGATAAGAAAATTACAGTAATATTATGGTAAGCTCGAAGTCATAGTAATCCGCATTCAATGTCACCGACATTATACCTATCATCCAACAGTTATACGACGATGCTGCATGCCAAGTAAACCTCAACGAGAAACCTACGGAATCCTTTGAAGTGAGGATGGGAGTAAGGCATGGCTGTCTACTATCGCCAATGATCTTCCTGATTGGAGTACATTGGATAATGCGACAAACAACGGGCAATTGGGAAACAGGTATAAAATGGACTCACACAAAAACTTGGAGGATGTGGACTTCGCCGATGATATATGTCTGATTTCGCACAAACTGCAAGATATGCAAGTGAAAAGCAACAAGTTGGCAGAAGAAGCATCCAGAGAAGACAAGACTTCAGGTGAACATAGAGAAAACAGAGGTAGGTGGTGAGTTTCTGGCCAACACCAACAGCAACATCAACAACAGACAACAATTAGCATAAATGGGAGGAACCTGAAAAAAACAACCTCCTTTACCTACCCGCCCGGGAAGTATCGTTTCAACTACAGGCGGAACTGACGA